GACTTTTCTTAAAAACAAAATACTCGATAAAGCAAAATGTGCAACTGACTTACTTTTTGTGGAAATGCTTTTCAAATCCCAAAAGTTTTTTGGACTTTAATTTGGTGTTGGGGGAATGGAGCACCCTAGAGAACTTGAAAGGAGTCCTGGGGTGGGGGTTCTTAAATGTCGAGTGAAGTATTACACTAATGGTATTTTTTTTTTGGCTGCAGTAAAATGGTATTTCTGTTCAGTGTATATTAAAATGTGTTTTCTTGAGGGTGCTATTCAGTAGTCCAAAAATAATGCACATGTACTGCCAAGTTAAAAATGAATTATAATGCACTAGATCAGAGGTCAGAGATGTATCCTCTGGCATCTCTAAACCATTGATGATGGATGCCAAGGAGGGTAATGAACAAGGGGATACATTCCAGGCCCCAGTTCAGTGTTGTCCCTCTAAAACATCCATTCTTGCCACTTTTAGAGATGGGATACTGGGCTAGATGGACCATTGGTCTGACACAGTACAGCACTTAAGTTCTTATGGATGTCCAACTTGGTTTGGAGGCCAGATCTGAACTGTGTGGCTTGTTGCAAATCTGACAACAAACTTCCTATGCCTTGAGGGTGCTGCTGCTGGAGCCACTGTGTTGACATGACTTGAACCCAAAGGCTGAATGCCATAGCCTCTTGCCCCTCCTTTTGCCCTACCACTGATTTTTAGTTGCCAGTGGAGACTGAAGGCCCCAAATTTGGCAATTTGACCTCACTAACCTCAGAGTTTAACCATGTGCCCTGCCAGCTATTAATGAGGCATCCTTGTATTATATAATTCAGAATAAATGAATTACGGAGCTGATACTCTCTGCTCTCTGAGGGATAAGCTGCCTTTTTCTACCTTGCAGTGATAAGTGTCCAAGCATGATGGTTCAGGGATCATGCAGGACATCCTTCCAGTTGGAATAAGAGACAATACAGAGGAGTATGTCCTTACTGCTTCTGTGGTGCTCCCTAGAATTGTCTTTCTCAAACACACCCTGCCCTCCTGCTCTGAATATGCCAGTTCCAGAAATAAGGGAATCAAGGGCATCTACCACCACCACTCCTAAGAACTGCTTCTGTTATGGTCATGAAGGAATAGGGAGTGCTTTCAGGGTGGCCTCACTGTTATTTTTGGGGTTGGTGTATTCAGAGCAAGAATGGATGGACAAAGGTGTGGCTGAGAATAGCAGTCCAGGAAATAGCAGAATCTATGCCTCTGATAGAAAAAGAACTTTCCATTTAATGTGGTTCTTTCATTTATTGTGGTTCTAGTAGTTTCTTTCTGCATCTGAGAAATGAAATGGTAAGCACTAAAGTAAGACTTTAATACTGTTAGGACTTCTATCTTCCTAAAAGATGCATTTTTATGCTGAACAAAATATATGGCAATACAAGAGTTGTTTTATGATTTACAACAAAAAAGTTACATGCTTCCAATTATGTGTCCATTGAGCAAATTTGCTAGGATCTGCTTCCTTAAACAAGCATTCACTAATATGGTGGTTTAGGTTGAATTATAAATTCATACTGTTTAACACTCCTTAGAATGTTTAACTTTTCTATTGTGCTAGGAACCTTAATAATTCTTAGTAATTTTAATTTAGCTAGGGAACATTGTGAATGGGATGGAACATTACAACAGAACACAGTGCCTGACTTACCAGAGGTCCTTGACACCTCTCTGCAAATCTAATTTGATTAGTTGTCACTGATTCCTGGAAGTCATTGCTATGAACTCTTGTCTTAAACCTTCATCTTATTCACTCAGTGATCATTTAAATTGCAAGAAATGTCTGACTTGTCATCTTGGTCAGTGTTAACGTTTGTGCTGTAGGGCTTACATTGCAACTTTTACACACCCACACATGCCTATCATATATTGGCACTTCAGAAACTTGAGTAGCCATCCTTCAAAACAATGTGTACTAATTACAGATTGTTCTGTGCTGTTAACTCTGGTGGAAAACTCCTCCCTCCCCAAGAACACAACTTTAATATTCATTTTCTGGGAACCAGGCATTCTGTATAGAATAGATTACCACCCAATTTTTGTATTCATCCAAGTTGCAGGTTAACTGACAGGAATCTGAGCCCTGTATGAGTAGCTTGAGTGCTTACTGTTGATCAACAGATTGAAGCACTCATTAAAATGACTTCAGGATTTTCTTGGGGAAAAAGAACATTCAGCACTGCAGTATCAGATAAGTATCTTTTTAACTACCACATGTGTTATGATTTGTAGCAAATATTAGATACAAAGTTAATTTTGTTGTAATTTACAGTTTCTCTTATCTTCTTTTTAGATGCAAAAGTGCCAGTCCAGGATAGGTAAGTATTCTCTTTTCTTCACTATAGTATTAAGTTCACACAGTAACTTATTAGCTGAAGCTTAGTCCTTAATTTTCACTGTTCTCTCGAAAATTTTCCATTCTATTTTAATGTAAATAATTATTTTCATTGTGATTAGAATGTGTACATAGCTGCATGTTAAGACTGACTCCTTACATGTACTCTGAGTTAAGGTAACTAACCATGAAACTACCTAGTTGTTAATACTTCTCAGATGCAAATTTTTATGCATCTGTGACTAAATTGATTCCTCTAGTATAATTCCAGGAATTAATTTTGTTTTAAGAGTCCATCTAATCTATGACTAGATCAGAACATTCTTTGAATGCAGTTAAATTCTGGATATGTTTGTACACATGTGTTTAGTCCACTGGTTTTAATTCAAGTTTCTCCTTTAATTTGCAGCCATCCCATCTGGTGTCTTTCTTGCTTCTTCGCAGCCTTGTGCTTTGAGCGCCCTATCCGGATCCTTTGGTTCCTGGTTCCTGTCTGTCCCAAGATTCTCTCTGGTTCAGTTTCCCATGTTCCAGAGACCTTATCTGCATCCTCTAGACTGACTACTTATTTTGTATTTCACTGATGTTTTCACAAAACTTTCATTGTGGCTTTACCTGAAGCCTGGCATGAGATACTTGACTTTCCTGTGACTGTGTGTAATGCTTAGAGCTGTGGTTCTCAACCAGGGTGTGGAAACGCTGGGGTACCAGTTTCAAGTTGGGAAACTGGCAAGTTTGAAGTCAACAACCCTCTGCTCTTCCAAAAGGAGTACTTCTGGGGGAGGGACTGCTGGTGGCGAAGATCAGGGGTTAGGGGCAGGACTTCCAGTCTCAAGAGGGTGACCGGACAGGGCGAGGCACCTGTCAAGGGGCCAGGGGCAGGGGCCCCTTGACAGGTGGCAGGTGGCAGGGCCAGGGGCAGGGCTACCCTGGCATCCTTTGACGGCTCACTAAAAGTCATTAAGCTTCCCCCCAGCCAAATAATTGCCCACCCTTGGTTTAGAGAGCCCAAATGCAGGAGTGCATGTGCATGGCACAGACCTTCCAGGGCTGGCTGTGCAGCAGGCGTGGAGACAACTCAATCTCGAGTTAGCAGACCCCAGCTAAAAAACCTAAGGTAAGCTGAGGCAACAGTGGTTCTCAACTGGGGGTGCTGCCACATTAAAGAAAACAACCCCCCCCCCCCCCCCCCCCCACCCCACCCAAACAAAAACGTGGAGCAGGAGTGCCATGCCCCTGGAAAGGTTGAAAACCACTGGGTACTTAAGAGTCCTGATGTTCCCTGACAGTCTTTGCTTTGAGAAGCTTTCCCTCATGGCATTTCCTTTGGTTTTCCATAGTACATTGGGCAGATTTCTTGGATTTGTTTCTCAGACCTAACTCTTCATAAAAGTTTTTTCTATTTGCAAATAAACATTTGAGGGGAAAAAAAGGAGGGTGTACATCTTTAATTCACCCACAAAATACAGGCAGAAAACTGCCTATGTTGTTTGAAAAGAGACTGACTATCAGAAAGAGAACTAGATTTGAGATTTGCTCTACCCTTTTCCCACCATTATTAGGGAATGACATCATGCACTTGCACCAAATGTAGGATTTCTTTTTCATCAAACAATCTTTATTTCTATGCTCTTTGACTTTTAAATACCCTTGGTCTGTAATGGGATGCTGAATACTATCGATTGAATTTTTAAATAGACTGATTCTTAATTTAATTTTTTGGGTAGCAAAATCCTCAAACAATGTCCTGTTTTAAAAATCACTTTAAGAAACATTTTAAAAAATTCTGCATACTTTTCTTTAGTGTGCGCTTATGTTGTTATATAGGAGGTTCTTAACAGGTACTCTTTTGCTGACTGACTTCAGGAAAAGAATGAGTATGCCAAGTATAGTCGAATGTATAAAGAAAATTTTAAATAGAAAAAAAGCAAACCTACTTGAATTTTTAGTATTCTTTAGTGTTCTGTAACAGTTACAAAACTTCAGAGACATATTTCAAGTTGACCACTCCTGTCTTTAGAGTTAACATTTTCTATGATTCTGTTCTCGTGCAATTAAGTTCTTGTATATTTTAGTCTTTTACATTTATGGGGTACATTGACATGGTACCACTTGCATATTCAAATCATAAGTTTTTCAGACTCCATATCCAGATCCATGGAAAAGAACATTTTGTGCCATATTTATTGCTTGTGCTTTTTTTGTGTGGATATGTGCAAAATGTGGGTGAGGCTATTCCAATACTTTTCTGCTGACCAGTGTAAGGTTCTTCCTCTTTGTGAATTTAAATAAAATCATAAAGCATCTTTTGTGTGACGTTCTGAAGTTTATTTAAATCATGTTACTTTGCTTGCAAATAGTATGAATGACTGACAAAATATCTTCAGTATTTAGATTTGAAGTTACTGGTCCCTATGAAACCTCTTTAATATTTTTCCTTGAAATAATCCTTAACTGTTCTTCTCTGCTATATGACAAATAGTTAAAATGTATTATGTGCTTTTTTGATAATGTAAAATCATCCAAATAGAACAATACTGATTATTGTTAGGTTAAAAAAATATATATATATGACCTAATTTAAATACATGTTGACATTTTTAATATTAGTACCACTAGCCAGTTTTGTGACTAATTGTAATCATTTTGTATATTTCAGGGAAATGAAGCAAGCTACCCTTTGGAAATGTGCTCGCACTGTAAGTCTAATTTCATATTTGTTGCCTTTTTACTCTAGTTATCTTTTTATTAATTAAAAAAAAAAACTGCAGAGGGATTTATTTATGCAACTTCCATTCATGCTAATCTCAAGATAGAACAGGATATAATTTAAACATTTGCCCTTTTTGAGAAGTGTCAGATTTTCTGCAGTTACTGTTATATTATGAATTAAGTAATTGCGTTTTTCTCTAAAAAAAAATGATTAATTGAATTATTACCTGGAGGTTTCTTTAATTTTTTTCTATTTGGTTAAAATATTAAACAGCAACTTAAAATGGTTTTGATATTTTCAAGTACTCAAGCAATATTTTTCCTAAATCTATAGAAAAATTAGAAGAAAAGTATTGAGTTAGTACAGTGTTAATTATATTTAAGAGAAAAAACAATTGCAGCATAAACCTTTGAAATAATTTATTTTGGGTTGAAAATGTGTGCATCTGACAGACTACTTTTGTGCAAAGCTTGGTAAACTTTCCTTTTGTTTCTTAGTTTGAAGATTCAAATCTTGAGCTTACAAATTGTTTTTAAGATCTCTGGGTAGTGGTTTATTATGCTTCACTCAGTATTTGTACAATATTATAATGAATTCCAATTGTAACCATAAAACACATATACCAAGTAACTATTTAAAATGTATCAGAGAATAATGTTTTCTATATACATTTTTCATTTAATGCAGAACATTTTTTAAAAAGTCCTCAGTGCCTTTTAACATTACTAGAATTGTGTTGTATAAATAGGAAAAAATCAGCAATTTGTAAACATTATTCTGCACGTGACAAGTATGTTAGTCTGTTTTAACAATGCACTCACTGCACAATAGTGTTATGCTTTAAACATATGCTTAAAGTAAATGCAGCTATACACATTATATTTTGATCTTTCATTTGAAATGCAGATTTTCCAACTGTAATAGATTTCTGCAGCCGACATCTCCTAACTTTATGGGTTGCTGTGTACCTTTGTTAAAAGAATTAAATGACATCTAAAGGATTTTTTTTTTGTAATGGCAATGTGTTCTTCTAGCAGAGCAGAAAACATTGGTGCAAAATCTTTTCTTTGTGCCTCAGAATAACTGCAGCTTCTTCAAACTCCTATTACTTAACCCTAGGAGAGTTGGAGGGCTTATTAGAAACTTCAAAAAATGCCCCAAATGTCCCTACCATATGACAGCCAAGCCATTCTCAGCATCCAAGAATTAGTACTTTTTTGAATGGAGGAAACTTGTAGTTAGATTACCTTGGGACATTCCTTTATAGCACAGCAAGGAAAGGTGTCCCCATAGGATTCCACAAGTAGTTGCATTTGAGGCAGTTCTGATTTGTTCTGGCTTCTATCCTGAATTGTAACACAAGAAATTAAGCCATTTACACATCTAGCCTGTCCAAGCCGTGTTGCTGCTCTTCTGACAGCAGGTGGCCCTTGAGAGCATGCAAGCTGACAGGCTTGTCCCTGGAATGACTTGCAGTTGACGTGTGTGAAGCACAGTTAACTTAGACATTGTCCTGGGCATAAAAGTGCCAGCACACTTGATCTGGCATGCTTCACAGGTACTTCAAGTTGAACAGTGGATTCTAGTCTTTAGGGAGAAATGACATCTGTTTTGCACCCTAAGCAGTGTAATATAGCTGATCACCAATAAAAACCTGGGTAACAACAGATTAAAATAGAACTTCCTTTAGGCCAGCATTTCTCGACCTGTGGGTCATGACCCAAAACTGGGTCTCAAGACTGTATTGCAAGGGTTATGAACAAACTTTAAAAATGGATTCTCCTTTAAAGGAGAAAAACATGGGAAGCTGTGGCTTTTCCCTTGCAGGCTGTTCCAGCATGCAAAGGACTACTTAGGAGGGTCCCCAACCTATACACTGTGGGGGCTGCGGCCTGGGAGCATGGGGACAGCAGGTTGGGAGTGAGGGGCACAGGGTTGGGATGGGCCGTCGATGTTTTACAAATGAGTCCTGGTACAAAAAAGGTTGAGAACCACTGCTTTAGGCAACCTAGGACTAATTGCTTTACCTGAGATATGTAACAGCAGATGATCTGATCCTCTTCTCCCATCTGCCCTTGTGTTTGACAGGAGATGACTCACTAGTTAAAGAATTCAGCAAGTCCAAAGATGAAACTATTTCAGACTGGATCACGAGTTTGTCTCCATAGGTTATACCTCTGAGAGACTGACAGATATCCTCTTAGTGGGACAATGGGATCTAATAATCCTCCATTCCAACAATTGCACTTCCTGCTATGTCACTTTTGAGTTAATTTACTCCCCTACCCTGGCACCTGTAAACCAGGGGCTCCTTCCTGGGACCTTGGGATTGGGTAGCCTGGGCTGCACACATGGTTTTTTAGGCATCCCTGCACATGGGGACCCCAGGGTCAGGGAGCCTTTCCCTAGTCCCAGGGTTCCCATGTGTTGGGGCTGTCCAAAAACTGCACATGTCCCTGTGCACAGGGACCCTCTCTTTGATCCCGGGGAGGGGGATGGGGGTGTGTGGCAGGACCTTTTAAGTACTGTGTTTACAGCCCAGAAGCATACAGGGACCTGGGATTGGGGAGTCTCTCCCTGGTACTGGGGGTCCTTGTTGCTAGGATTTTTAAAATACCTTGCTCTACAGCTCCCTGTGAGCTGTATGGCAAGGCAGTCATCCTGCCTGACCTAGCGTCTTAAAGTGTCTTGCTTCACAGCCCCCCTGCCTTGTCCCACACATGTACTGTGGAACCCTGCAAGTTGCTTCCCCAGCAGTCCACTTTCAGCAGTGGGACCAGAGCTGGCCCAGTCATGATGCCAACCACTGCCCCAGTGCTGATGCTGACAGTCAGCCTAATGTCAGCATTGGCATGGAGCTTCTACATGTGAAAATGATGGTGCCAGGCAAAAATACGTGGAATATCTTTGTGGCTGCATTGCTGCTTTATAATGCTATAAAACAGTCTATCACTGTTTCTATGTATGGTTCAATTAACATATTAATCACACCTTAAATATAATGTGTTCCAGAGGCTTTGGTGATAGCTGTATTGGTATCAGTCTGTGGTCATATAATTAATTGATTCTTCATATAAATGCTAAAAATGCATACTGCTTTCAAGCAGTTAAGTCTGAAGAAGTCAACAAACAGTCTGCTGTTGAAATTCTACACGCAAGACGCATATGCAAGCTTTTGGGAGATTCCCCAATTAGTAGTACTTCATCTAAGGGGTCTGTGCCTTGTTGATGTGTGCTGCATCATAATTATGATGAATGTACTCCATTCATTAGAGCTCCCTAGTCTCACAAAAATAAGATGCCAATTTTAATAAATCTTCACACAGAAGAGAGCTGTACAAGAAGCTTTTTTTTAAAGTAAAAAACATATTTGGAATGGAGAAATGCAGATAGTGTATATGTGACTTAAAAAAAAAAAAAGTACAGATTTCATTTATCGTGGAAAAGGGTAACAAACATTAAGGGCATTTTTACATGTGTTCTGGGGGGGTGCACGGGGGCACTTTAATTAGCGAGTGTTTTTAATTAAGTGCTTGAGCATCACATGTATCAGTGTTCCCTGCTGAAAAATGGTGATGGGGCGCTTTGAACTAAAGCTCATTGAATGAGCACCCTGCCACCATTTTTTGGTGCGGGGATGCTAATACACGTGATGCCAGAATCTACAGGAGCATGTTTATTTAAGTGCTCCAGCAGATTCGATTTCTAATGCGTCAGAGCCGGCTCCCTGCACATGTATAGGAGGCCTACGTTGGTAGCCAAGAAGGCACCATTTAATAGTGCCTACCTCTGAAATAATCGTACTTCCAGCTGCCAAATGGGTTACAGATGTAACAAGTTTCCTTATATTTGGCATCTGTTTTTGAGGCTGAGGGGACATTACTAAACTTTTTAATAATCTTACACTCTGAAGACCAGGTTGTGTAGAATTTCTATCATGGCAAAAAACCATAAAGAAAATAGTATAATTTATAATATACTTTATTTGACCATGTGAGAACAGTATTTTTTTTTTCCAACTTCAGATGTGCCCATTACAGTTTCTTAGGTAATGAAGAAGATTAGGCCAGCTGTGTGTAAGCATATACAAGACAAGTGGTTTAATGTATTCTCAAGGGCATCATCTTTTTGAAACTTGATCTCAAAGACTGAAATGGCTGTCTTGGTTGCTTACTCTGAAACACTAGATATGTAAATTGGACGAGACTGTAGGTAGAAGTGAGAGCTTTGGTTGAAAGTGTTCTTCATTTTGATTCCTCAGGAAACATTTTTTTCTTAAATAAGTGTGAGACTTAAATTTAACATTCATTTTAGTGCCTGTTTTTTTTCTTGTCACAACTGCTATCCAAAGTTTAGAGGGGGTTTTTTCTGGGTTTTTTTGTTTTTTGTTTTTTAACAGGTTTGGGCTGATGAATTCAAAAATTCAGATTTGTATTTTTTTTAAAAGAAAATCTAACTTAGTCAACTGTTTACTGTCATTGATACATCTTTCAGCTTATTCATTAAATTTAAATATAGGCAAGGTTTCTAAGTACTAAAGTAGGCACCTAGGTAAGGATTCAGATTATTGGAAGTTCACTGTATTCTGCCACAAAGCATGCAGGGTGCATAATACTTTGAAAAATCTGATACTTATCTGGACACACAAATAAGATTTAAGAAGCCTGATCTCATTGAAGTCGATGGTAGTCTTCGATAGGGAAGTGATCTCAGGGAGCTTAACTTCAATGTAGCTTTTAAATTTTGACCTTACTATTTATGGCACAGTGATCATGTCCATGGCTTATGATGGCTGGAAAAATGTCATTAGCACTTTTCTGTGACATTTATTTTTTTTTTAAACATGCAGCACATTTCAGAACCAGTTTGTAACAAAATTCTTTGCACGTCAATAAGTCAGTTCTGTAGCGCCTGTTTATACTAGTATCTTGGCACCGATTAGCACGTATGAACAAAATTGCCAGAAACAAAATCTTTCAAAACCTT